ATAACTTATTTAATTTGGACCGACATCTTGCCCCATATCCATATGAAATATGGCAGAAGTGGAAGTTACTGTCTTCACAGATCACTGGTTGGTGTCTTCAATTAAAGAAATACTTGCCCAACAAATCTTTGAACTTAGTCTTGTTGAAGTTGGTGGTAGTTCACATTATGAGCCTGAATTGAGACTGGTCACTGTCCTCGCCGAACCCGTCCCTTGCGATGAAGGACTTAATGAGTAAAATTAACCCATAGACACAGTCCACTGAGTTTCTCACTGGATCTTCTCAGGGGGTCGCGTTTCCGATCCAGTGCTAGATTCTGCGAAGCACTGCTATTGCTAGAGCCAGTGTTAGCAACACTCCTGGTTTGAGCCCCGTAAACTTAGGCTTGTATCAGCTAAAACCATTCATACAAGAAATTTTAGAATATTGTGTTATTCCAGAATCTTCTATCAATAATCTGTACTAAGTTTAATTTCTATTGTCAGCTGAACTAGCAGCAAAATTGGCACCAGAAAGTGGAATGATAAGAGCATCAGTTGAACTTTTATCGATGACTGATGCAGAAAGACCAAGAGGAGTCAAGTCTTCATCTAGTTCAATAAGTCAGGAGAACGAAAAATCTCCCACTAAAGAGGATTTCAGTGAAGAACAAATTGCCGGACACTCAAGTGCTAAGAGAGCTAAACGAATCACAAGGGAAGAGAAAGAAAAGTCATTGTTACCAGATTTGAAACCAGTTCCAGGTAAATTAATGAAACAAATAAATAACATTTTTCCCCCACAACTAGTAAGCCCCTCAAACTAAAAACTACACGCCAAATTAATTACTGGTTGTAGGACCTGTGAGGCTGCATGGGTAGGTCATCACCACCCTGCATATTTCTGCCATGAAGCAGTAATGTGTCTCGGTTTGAAGGGTGGGGCAGCTGTTTATCTATACCTTAGAATGTGGCGGCATTTATGTTGTATATGAGTCGTCTATTATCAAAGGTGGCAAAAGGTGGTGACAAATTTTTTTATTGATATGTCAATACAGATTGATTTGAATATAATCGTCTCCTTCAACGAATACGGTTCAAAACCTGCATTAAATAAAGGTTAATAGTTAACCTGTTATTTATCTAAGATGTCGTTCCGAAGAGTTTTGTGACTGCCAATGGAATACAAAGTCAATAATTCGTTTTTCTGATTTACCAATCATTGTCCAAAAGTCAGATTGCCGGCTTTGATAATAGTCGACTCATATGCCTATGTGCTCCAGTAACCACTTAACACCAGGTGGGCTGTGAGCTCGTCCGTCCATCCATGTAAGCAATATATAAAAAAATAAAAGAATTCTAAAATGTGAATCTTTACAGGAGCTGCTATGAGATTCACAGAAATACCTCAAGATAAATATCCACCGGATGCAACACCAGAGGAGATCACGAAACATTACTTAGATCAGTCATACTCATTAGAGCTCATGATAGCACAGCATAATGAGTAAGTATTTATTTTTAACTGTGTTAGTATTTTAAGTGAAATTTGAGGGTATTTTAATATATTATGTTCATTACATACTACATAACATATGTTGATTACATACTATATAACATATGTTGATTACATATTATAGTTGAATATGCATGATGGATATTTTAAGCATTATTCAGTGCCCAAGTTATCAGGAAGCTAAAGTCAAGTCTCAACTCTTGACATCATGATTAAATGCACAAATGCCAAAATCTAAAATTCCTTATACGTGTTTTATTTTTCAGACCTCTACACATCATAGGAGAACTGCAATTCGCATATTTGTGCTTTTTGATTGGGCACTCCCTAGAGGCTTTTGAGCACTGGAAGAGCCTCGTCATACTCATATGTTCGTGTGACGAGGCCATACACAAATACAGAAGTGTTTTCTTTCACTTCATTAGGACTATTGAGGTGCAAATAGAAGAGATGCCCGAAGATTTCTTAGCCGATATAGTGATGAATAAAAATTTAGTATACAAGAAACTGCGAGAGTTTTTCCGCACGGCTTACGTAAGCAAAGTCGACGGCAGACTTTTGACGATGATTGAACGCTTCAAAGATAACCTGACCGACAAATTGCAATGGGATTTCACTGGTTTAGACGCTGATGATGAAGACGAGAGACCGGTCGTAGTGAAACTCGACGACGGAACTCAATAGATTATATTTAATGGCTCCTCTTCACAATCGGCCATGATGGGCCAACAAACGATCGTCCATCATCGCAGCCATGATGGGGCAACTCTCCACACAATCGTGAACGTTTATTTACTGACTGTCTACTGATATGTTAAGACGTCTAGGTATCGATGATGGAAATCGAGGAGATCGCGGCTGCGGCAATATTTTTAGTTCTATATAGTCTATATAGTCATTTAGTTAATGTGCGCGAAAAAAGAATCGTGAAAACTTTTTTTTCTTAAATCCCCCTTGTAGACAGACGGAGTCGCCCATGGACTTCAGCAATGCAAGATGAAAGAAGATAAGGTGGTGGGTGGTGGTTATCAATCGGAACAAAACAAGGTCCACGCAACCATAGTTTTAAAGTCGACACAATTGACACACATTCGAGACAACTACATCCTGACTAATCGGCGATGGTGTGGACGCTCACACAATCATGGGCCATCAGTCTTTTGATCTACCGCCACAACGCCGATTGCGCACGATCATACGCGATGATGGCCGATCACACACATTTATGCCCTCTACACTATCTTGAGTTTCTATAATCGCCGATCATGGCCCATTGTGAAGAGGAGCCATAAGGACGGTTTTCATATTTCATTTAACTTGGATGATCTGTGCAACCGACACTTTCCAAGGTAGATGATATTATCCTAATTGTGTACTGTGTACATGTAGAACCAATTTTATATTTGTACAGGCAGATGTCACCGACCAACTCGATATTATTTATTAGTTCAAACGTTCATAGTAACAAATGTTTGATTACATTAAAAAATATTGTTTACTTTAAAAACTTTTCTGAATCTGTTTCTAAATTTCCAAAAAGAAATTTACCATATGTTCTGTCTATCAAATTTATCATATTATATTCTATCAATATACTGCAAGGTTGAAAACTTTTGCAGTGGTTTGATTACGTAACAATATTAAGTTCAATGTGTTATGACGTCACAGATCAGTAACTTTTATTACTAATTTACAGACTGCATGGGGCTAAAGAATTCGTTTTTTTTTACTCAATACACCGAATCCATAACTAGTTAGAATAAGAAATATTACAAATAGATTTTTTTAAATTAGTTATATACATAAACAGCAAAATTCCCTATAATGGGTATAAAGGTTCTTACAATAATGTAGACCGGCTGTTTGGGAATTCGAAAACTTTTTGACAAGGTTTTCAATATTTACATACCTTAAGAATAGTTACGAAAATGTGTGATCAAAGAGTAATGGTAATTATAAGAATTAATATAATTTATAAATAATATTTTTTGTATCATAATTTTTCAAATTAAATAAATGGTACCTGTAAACAATTTACATCTATTTACATTTTTAACTTTATTATCTTTTTTCTTTACCTGTCCTGATCTCAAGAAAAAGTTTGTCGCCGGATCTTTTCAGTGAGTCGCATTTCCGATGCGGTGGTAGATTCTTTGAGGCACGGCTCTCGCTAAGGTTCGTATTAGCAACGTCGTCAGGTTTGAGCTCCGTGAGCTCACCTACTAATTAAGGTTACGCTGAAATAGCCTCTCAAGGCTATCAGCATAGGTAGTTAAAAAAAAGTATGGCCTTGTACGGCGCTCCCGTGTGGTCGCCCGCACTCTCCGCGCGGTCCTGCTGCTCCGAGCTCAGCGGACGCTCGCGGTGAGGGTCATCAGGGGATACAGTATGATCTCCCGGGAGGTCGCCTGCGCCTTCGCTCGGTGGAGGCGCACTGCGCCTCACCTAGGCATACGCCAAGTAGGTATGCGGTAGGCAGCGGCTTGGCTCTGCCCCTAGCATTGCTGAAGTCCATGGGCGACGGTAACCACTCACCATCAGGTGGGCCGTATGCTCGTCTGCCTACAAGGGCAATAAAAAAAAATTAAAAAAAGTGGAGGGAGCGGTTGCTGAAGGAACTTGGCCGAGCTCCTGTCACCCTTTTTTTTTTTTCGGATAGAGGGCCGAACCTCCTACGAGGTCCCCGCGCAAAAGGGGCGCGCGGGGTATGTGAGACTCAACGATCTGCATGGTGTTGTGAGCAGACCGCGGGCCCAAGGATTTTACCTGTCACCCTCTGGCGCAACATTTTTTTTTCCTACATAGGCTTGCTAGCCTTGGCTATATCAGCGTAGCCTTAACTAGTAGGTGAGCTCACGGGGCTCAAACCTGATGACGTTACTAACACGAACCCTAGCAAGAGCCGTCGTTCACAGAATCTACCACCGGTTCGGAAACGCGACCCACTGAGAGTGAGAGAGACACTGGGCGACACCACCAGTGCGAGCATCCGGGTGATGCCGCTCAGCACGCGCTCGGGGCGTCATGGCCAGGTTTAGCGACCTGGTCATGGCGTCCCGTGACGCTGAGGAACACGAAAGGAAGTGGGATCCCTCTTCGGCTCCTCAGAGAAGAAGGTGGAATGAGCGGCGCGGGCGCGAAGCTCCTGTTTGTCTCCCGTAGAGGTCATCGGGTTCCGGGTGCGGGGGCGCCTGGTGCTCGACTGTCGGTCCAGTGGTGAGGCGGCGTAAGGTGGCTCCTGTGCGCCGCTCTCAGTGCCCCTCCCCCCCCCCTCCCTCCCGACGACGTCTTACGGCATCTTCTCGGGGATGAAATCCCGCCCTATTATCAGGATGGGTATCGGCGAAGGCGGACTTTTGGCGCGCATTATGCGGTACCGTGGGTTTCATGAAGTCGGAGTGTCGGAGCCCAGTGAGGTTTAGTCGGTAGTAAATTTTTCTCGGCGGGTCTTGTGTGGCTGACGCCGCGCACTTAAGCATAAAATGCAGAAAATAAAAAAAATACATTTCTTGTATTGTATTTACTTTGACTTAAATATTATACATTGCTTTTTCTTTTTTCATTGTTTACTGATGGGGTTCTTTTTGTTCTGCTTCTTAAACTTCAACTTCTCACTGTCGCTTGTGGTACTGTAACAACATACCCAAGTAATAATAATCAATACAATAATCACATTGACACTTTGAATAGCATATAGGAGCCGAGATTTTATGGAAAAACCATGAAGTCATTCATTAATAGAAATCAGATTAATGCATTGTATTATGAGAAACGAATTCATTTTACAAACCTAGTTTTATTTACTCAATTTCTGTTAATTCTTCTGGGATATCTACGGGCATGAAGAAATCATAATTGATGCCCAATTCCTTTAACTTTTTCTTTGTTTTATTTAAACTGAAATTGAAAAATAGAAAATAGTGTAGATAATTTAATTTCATTATTAGCACTAACATGGAATTAAGATATATAATCAATATTTTTTTTAAATCTACTAGTTCTTGTCCTATTTAGAAATATTCTTTTGGTTCATCATATAATTTCCCAAAATAGACATATTTGCTTCGATCAGAGTTAATTAGATTTAATTATAATAGATACATGCACACAGCAAGTAAAGAACATAATTTAAAATTAATTGACTAAAATCTTTATTGATGCTGATCTTGTTTTGATCTTAGTATCTTAGTCGCTAGCTAGTAATGCAAGGTGGCACTAGTAGGTACAACCAACCTACTCATTTCTGTTGCAGCATTGACTATGGTAACCATTTAACACCAAGTGGACTGTGTGCTTGTTCAGCCGTCTATATGATAATTGGTTTATTAAAAAAAGTTTGGGTGATAATGTAACAAATTTCACTAGTACAGTAAACTCAAGACTTTCAGTAAAATAATTAACTTACCTTTTCATTAATTTACGAGCACTTCTTAATTCTTCAGCATCACTCTTTACTGCGTTGTATTGCTTAAAAACAATTGATTATTTTTAGTTACTTATTAAATATTTGATATATCACACCTTTAGAATTAAAGAGACCCATTTCGTTATTTTTTTTTAATTTGGACTTTAATTAAAAAATGGACTTAGAATGACATTTTTCGCTTATAAAGGGACAAACTTGTCCATCTCTTTCACACCGTCTCCTTCTTCTACGTCTTTTCAGTTTGAAATTTTTTTCAATGTACTCCAAAAAAACACACTTTTTGGGTTGGGTCTCTATAATTCTAAAGGTGCAATATATCTCTTATGGTAATTTTATGATCAACACATCTTCATTGTTCAATGAACATATTTTAACAATAAATTTACGATTGAATGGTAAACATTACAATAAAAATTCCACATTCAATTGCTGTTGTTAGAATTTTATGTTATGGGTGTCAAAACCACATACAAGGCAAGGGCATGTATATTACTACTAAAATACAAGTTTCATTCGAAAAGAGAATTGAACAAATAGGTTAAATGAACAGTAAAACTTACAATTCTAATAGATACAGAGAACTGGCATTAGCAATTTGCAAAAACCACTAACATGTGCAACATACATTATCTACTTTAATAATACTAAGTACCCCAGATTTTGCTTGGGCAATCTTTATAGACATTTGAAAATTAATATTTTCTAATACATACTTTTTTAAGTTTCAGATTCGTATTTAAGACAGGATTGTTCTGAGGGTTCCATGTGTATCTCATGGCCCATCTTCGTTTATCAGGTGGTATGTAAGCAGCTGAAAATGAATGTACTTTTATTTATCTACCAGTCAGCCAGGTTAAGCCTAAATAAATTTGTTTCACCAGTAAGTTAAGGTATTAGTTAAGCAACATTAATACATAACAGAATCCAAAATGGATTGAAAATTATGAATACTAAAATGTTAGATATAGTAGTGACACTCTTGTAAGATTACTAGAATTTTTTAGGCTTCCCAACAAACAGAATTCATTCATTGATTTATGTTGAGAATATTTTTTATAAGGTATTTTTTTATTAAAATTTTATGATTAATGATAAACTTTAGATGCGCATTCATGTCCTTATGCATAGCTAGTGTTTTCTGTCTACATCACAAATCATCAGCCTTGCTTATATTTAGTACCATGCTATTATTATCAGATCACTTTACTATAGGTACTACAACAGAATTATCACAATGAAAATATTAGAATAAAGGACTAAAGTATGTCTCATAATTACTGATTGTCTTGTTTGATTTACTATATTGCCTATTTGTGTCTATTTATTGTAAGTAAATTGAACCCTATTCTAAAGCTATGGATAATTTGAGTGTCTATCAAAAGGTTGCCTTAAGCATTTAAGATTCCTGTGATGGCTTAACACTAGATGAGGTATAATGGGCTTATATGTTTATTGATCTACACCCATACATAATACTGTATACCTTTTATCAATCTTTTCCCCATGAGATAATTATTCATGGTCTCAGCAACAATTTGTGCGACAGCAGGATCATGAAACTCTACAAATGCATATCCTTTAGATCTGCCAGTGCGCCTTGATCTGATCACTCTACAGTTAGAAACACCTCCAAACTGACTGAAGTATTGTGTCATTTGATGCTGAAAAAAACCCACAAAAGATATGAGTCTAAATAATTGCAAATAATTTGTAAAGTATAGCTTTTTGGGCAGAAATAGGCAGGGTGGTTGTTACCTACCCGCGCCCACTCACAAGACCTACCACCAGTAAAAAATTAATAAATGACGTACGTTTTTTTTATTGGTATTTACAACAAATCAAGTTATTCCAGGCGGTCTATTAACAACAGGGACTCTTCTTCGACGGTGGGACGGTAGTTTGCCAATTAAAGCAAAAAAAGAATTGTAACCAACCTCATAAAATCCATGTGGGATATGTCCCAAATAAACAAGCCCTCTTACACGTTTCTTTTTTTTTATTTTCTCTTCTTGTACTTTAGGGGTGACGGGGGTCTGATCCGTCGCTTGCGTTTTTTTCTTCTGTGATATAAATAAGAATAAGTACACTGGTTTTTTATAACCTAGTCTCAAATATATAATGTTATTAATACTACCTTTATAGTTTTTTGCAATCCTTTAATGGATTTGATAAACTTTTTTTGTTTGCTAGAATCCAACGCAACGTTTTCTTCCATTTTATTTCGTAATTTAAAATGTGATTTAAGCAAAAACTTAGAAGTGTAAATAAAGAACAACAAAGTCTTCTTTTTTAATTTTTAGGGATTTTATGACCTGGTAAGTAGGACCTTTAGGTCAAGTCTTATTTTTATTTTAATGAAAAGTTTTTTATGAAAAGTGGTATGAAATGAAGGAAGCTGATTAATATAAAACAATGCACGAAATGTCATAAAATGAAAATGAAAATGAAAATGAAAACGAAGTGAGACGAGACGAGACGAGACGAGATGAAACGGGACGAACGAGCACTTTCACAGATACTAAATAGTTAATAAACCACCGTTATTACACATTTAAACCTGAAGAAACACTTAATAGACAAAAATTTAATAAAACAAATCTCACAACTTCACTCTTCGCATTCCCGCCAAAAAGTCCCAAGCCTTCTCGTGTATTAAGTGCACAGATTGATGTTCGTTTTAATATGTATCGTTTGCGTCAGATAGGTGTAGGCATTACATATTATCTATTTTTTAGCTGCAAATACGGTACATCAATTTAATATAAAAATAGATTCCCTTTGGCTATCTGGTAGAAATAACAAACTCTCGTGTAACAGACACGAAAAGCTCAAGACCTTTAGGCGGGATCGTGAGAAAAGGATTAATGTGACTTGTTACATTTTGTTCATTTACTTTATGCTTAAACGTATAAAACAGTGCTTCACTAGCTTTTTCGCACCTGTGTTAATGCTTAAGGCTATGTTCCGATGTACACTGGGAGCACTGTAAAATATAATGTAAAATTAGTATACTGCGAAGCCATTCCTTTAATAGCTGCACTGGTTACTTTTTTAAATGGAACACAGTGCAGTATAAGGGTGAGACCGATATATTAGTATTCATTAAGATATTCGTAATACAGCTTGGGAATTTTTAAATGCATTACTTTTTAATGTTTGAACCTTCATTTCTTGATTCCTTGAAGTCAAATTCCTAGATACAATATACTATTTATATTATTAATAACTAATGTGTATTATCTATGATTATTAACTTATTTCACGAATACCGTATTAGGTTTAACTCGTTTACCCGTTTTATCAAAGTATATTAAGATATCAGGATATTCACGTATTAGTTAAGGTATTATAATATTACATAACGAATATATTTGTATTAGCTAATATCAGTGTTGCCAACTTAGCCCTTTCGGAGCTAGATCTAGCCCTTTTTCTGTCTGTTTAGCCTCCATAATAATGATTTAGCCCCTAGCCCCAAGTTTAGCCCCAAATTATCATATCTCAATAAACATAATCATAGACACGCCTAAGAACGAAACGAAATGAAGTTTTAACAGAAAAGCCTAGTAAAAACTTAACGCGCTCACTTTCATTCTATGTGGGGATTCCTCATATCTTGTACTTGTCTCCTGTTTACATCTATTTCATTCAGTATTTGGATTCATTCTATTTGGAGTTTTGATTGTGTTATGAATTTATGTGAAAGTAACCTTTTATGTTAGTGACAATGCACGTTTCAGTAAAAAAGAAAACTAAATACGCAAAACATTTTAAAGTAGAATGGGAGAAAGAGCCATCAATTAAAAAATGGTTAAAATGACATTCCGAGTCGAAAAAGCATAATGAAAAATTAATTTTTGTTTGGCCAGAGAACGATTTCTGTAGAAAAACTATAAAGCAACCTAGTACATAGTGCAGGAGCACTGCTTTCGCTCTTCATTGCAGAACATGCAGCTGTTTTGTAAGTTAATCATCTTAGTCAAATGTGTGCAAAAACTTTTCCAGACTCCAAGGTTGCGTGCGGTTTGCAACTTCATCGCACCAAATGTGGTGAAATGTGAATATAATAATGTGAATATAAATAAGAAATGTGTTAGGACTCCATTTCAAAACTACGTTGAGAGAGGATAGCCCTTCACGACGAATTTGACTCAGACTCAGAAGACATGTAAACTGCTTTAAGTGCGTTTTATTATATATAATAATGTAAATTTTTGTTATCAAATAATATGTTTATACAATATTTGTACACAGTAAGTAATAAATTATACCAAAAATCAACTGTTTCTATTCTTTTTCCTATTCGTACACTCTTGACAGAGTGGTCGTGATCATGCATCAGTCGGATACAACCTGCTCATGACTCTCGTGGGAAATTAGTGCAGTGGTTTCCCGTTGCCTTCTGCACCAGCATTTTAGGGGGTATTTGATCCCCAAGGTTTCTGACGCCTCTTCCGTATAGGTTGTCCTGACGGGTGTGTATGGTTACACCGCCATTGCTCGGTCGCCATTGCCCCGTTGGTTTTCTAACAGGGACTGTTTCTATTAAGTTTTATTAATTATTTAGCAATTTAGCCCTTATTTCAAATTTTTTGCCAAATCTAGCCCTTTTTGAAGTTCGATTTAGCCCATAAACCTGATACTGAGTTGGCAGCACTGGCTAATATTGACAAATATCAGTATTAACTATTAACCCATCTTTAGTACAGTATGATGCCTGCCAGGGGGGTGCAACTCCCATACAAAGGAAAAGAACATTCAACTAGCGCCATCTTTAGGAACCGGCGAGGTCATTTTTGAAACGTTTTGGCCTTAATGAACTAATAAACTCACTAGATGGCAGATACGAGTTCTGACTCAATAAAAAATGTAGCGTACTTTGAAGCAGTGCTTCCACTTTTAGGGAATTCTCCCTTTTTTGGGGAAAAATAGCTGATATTTTGGATGATAAAGACAATTTAAAAAATACCAGGATTTAGGATATTTCGGGGTAAAAAGCAAAGCCTATACTAGTAACTGTTGTGAATTTTAAAATAAACGATAATTAAAGTAAAACAATGAACATTTTATTTTATGGAGAGAGAATGACATTAAGTCGAGTTGACAAGTAAAAGAATAAAACAGAGTTGTGTATAAAAACTATAAAGGTTTGATTCAACAGTAACCCTCTAGTAAAGTAAATCATAGATTAAGCCACTGCTTTTTCTTAGGGATTCCCCAGAATCCCAATAAGTATAATCCGCCAAATTTTTATTTACCTATTTTCGTTGATGTCAC